CAGCTGCCCTGACCGCAGCCGGGCCTCCCTCTCAGGCCTGCCCCGTTGCCGGCCTGTGGCGTGTCCTGGAAGTCGGGAGAGGACGGTCCTCCATCCTTCCGGCCTCGCTCCCACGCCCAGACTTGAGCTCCACCCTGTGGTTCCCCTGCCCAGTCCTGCACCATCTGTCTCACGCCCACTCAGGCATGCCACAGTGACCCCGGCTCCCGAACCCCGCCTCCCTCTGCCCCCTGCGGGGCCGTTTGCCAGGCTGCTGGCTCCCAGTGCCGGGTTGGTGCTGCTGGCCGCCCCCCACTCCTGCCCTTCAGCCGTGTGGCAGGCAGCCCGCTGTGGTCCCTGTACAGAGTGGGGTGGTTTCTGAGGCCCCCTCTTTCATGGGGGTCTGCAGGCAGCTCAAGAGGGATCTGTGCTCTCAGGTCCTGCTTTTCTGTTGCCTGCACCCCTCTTCACATCCTGGGTATGGGCTCTCTAGGAGGGCAGTCCCCAGGTGCTGGCCTGCAGCCCCTCTCGACTGCCCCTTCCCAGGACACTACATACCTATCAGGCAGGGGCCAGCTGGGGGGGGCCACGGCCTGGGGCTGGGCAGCTCCTTCTCACCCCACCAGGGGGCGCCTTTCCCCCTGGTCATTTACTGCCTGGCCCACTGGAGGCTGCTCAGGATCGCCCACCCTGTGTCCAGACCTGACCTTCCTCTCTGTCCTCAGACCCGCCTCCCCTGCCAGGCGGGGGCACTGTCCTCCTGCCCCACGCTGCTGCTGGACAGGCCCTTCTGTGGGCGGTGCTGGCCGTGCGTCTGTGCAAGACCGTAGGCTTCCCCCACCCTTTGCCCCGGCTGCACACCTGCTCGCCTCCTGCTCCAGCACCTGCTGGCCTCTCTCCCACCCCTCTCGGCGGGTCTGCCCTGGGGGCCTGTCGCCTCCAGTGCCTCGCCAGGCCTGGTGTGCTGCGCACCGCAGCCCGCATGACCTGCCCGGCCTCACTCCCTGCTGCCTGGCCTCTTCCTCCGCCTGCTGCCTGCTGCTTCTGAGGGGCAGGGCCAGGATGGTGAGGACAGTGCGGAGGCCGAGGGGGTTTGGGGGTGCCTGCGAGTCAGGGTCCCTGAGAACTAGGCTGGTTGCAGGACCTTCCACAGCCTCTGTAGTGGCCCCAGTTGTCTGGAGCCCCCAGGTCACCCTGTTAGCCAACAGGAAGCTGCCGAGGCCTGGGGGAGCCCTTCCGTTGGTCATGGAAACGTCCCGGCTGGATGGGGCGCCCACACCCTGACGTGTGGCTAGCCGTGGCGGCCTGGCAGTGTCCGTTCTTCCCTGAGCCGCTGCTGTTATTCTCTAACGGAGCGCTGCTTGGTGCCGGGTGACCCCGCCCGGGGTCCCGCCTGCCGGCCCCCCGCGGCTGCCGGCCCACAGCCCTGCCTGTCTGCTGCAGGTGGTCTTCGGCAAGAAGCTGCCCGCCTTCGCCACAATCCCCATCCAGCAGCTGCAGCACGAGAAGAAGTATGACATCTACTTTGCCGACGGGAAGGTGTTTGCCTTGTACAGGTGAGTGGAGCTGGGGCAGCCGGGCAGTGCCGCTTGCTGGGCCCCAGTGGGGGCGTGATGGGGGTGTGCGCCTTCCCCACTGCCTCTGCTGGGGCGGGACCCCTGCAGTGTCAGCTTGGTCCTGCGGCTGGGTGTGGCAGCAGAGGGGGGCCGGGCCGCGGGCGCCTCGCGAGCGCCGTGTGCGGCGGGCAAGCCTGAGTGGGTCCCCCAGGCAGCTGCTGCTGCACCAGTGCCCCTGCTGCCCGGAGCTGCCGCCCTTCGGCCTCTTCACGGACCTGGAGCAGCACATGCGCCGGCAGCACGAGCTCTTCTGCTGCAAATTGTGCCTCAAACACCTCAAGGTGCGTCCCGGGGCCGCCCGCGCCCCCACGCCCCGAGCCTAACCCTCCCCGTGCCCCCCGCCCCGCCCCTCGGGCCCCGCGAGCGCCTGCCCGCCCCTGCAGATCTTCACGTACGAGCGCAAGTGGTACTCGCGCAAGGACCTGGCGCGCCATCGCATGCAGGGCGACCCCGACGACACGTCGCACCGCGGGCACCCGCTCTGCAAGTTCTGTGACGAGCGCTACCTGGACAACGACGAGCTGCTCAAGCACCTGCGCCGCGACCACTACTTCTGCCACTTCTGCGACGCGG